CCTCCCATGCTATTCAGCATCTACCTGAAACCACTGAGTGGGGTCATCTGGAATTTTAGAGTATGTTGTCAGCAATGACACATAGCTCTACTTCTCCTTTACATCTGTAGGTTGGGGAGTGGATGTGCTGGACTGAGTAAACTGAAGCTCAGTCCAGAGAAGACTGAAGTGCTGTTAGTGGACAGTTCCCTAGACAGAATGGATGGGAGGAGGCCTGCTCTTGATGGCATTACATGCCCTCTGAAGGAACAGGTTCACAGCTCGGGGTACTTCTGGATCCACTGCTGTCATTTGAGGCTAAACTGGCTTCGGTGACGTGGAATGCCTCCCATCAGCTTCAGTTGGTAGTCTAACTACTGTTGTCTATGCTCTGGTAACCTCAGATTAGATTACTGCGATGCATAATATGTAGGGCTTCCTCTGAAGTTCAGAAATTCCAGCTGGTGCAGAATTCAGCTGCCAGGTTGCTCACTGTGGAAAGATGGTTTGAGCAAATGACACCAATCCTGGCCCAACTACACTAGCTGCCAATTAGTTTCCAAGCCCAATCAAAGTGCTGGCTTTGACCTATAATGCCTTAAACAGGTCAGGACTGCAATGCATCAAGGACTGTCCCTCCCGATATGAACTGATCCAGACCCTGCGCTCATCATCTGAGGTCCTTCTTCATGTGTCCTCTCTACGAGAGGCCCAGAGGGTAGCAACATGAGAATAGGCCTTTTCTGCAGTGACTTCCCTTTTGTGGAATGTTCCCCGCAGGAAGCCCTGGTGTCTTTATGTATCTTTATCTATCTTCCTCTGTAACCAGGCCTTTGGCCTTCTGTGGCCTTTTAGAAATAGAGTGGGATGTTTTTGATGTATTTCTCTTGGCTTCAATGTATCTACTGTATGTGAGTTTTATTGTCTATTTGTTTGACTACAATCCGGAGAAAACACAAATGACTGTTTGCGCCGACTGAGAGCTAAAGAGTGGTTTCCTCCTGGTGGAAAGCTGTGGGATAAGAGGAACTGTGGATTAGCCTTCTGTGAACTATTAACAAGCTTGAGCTGAACTTTTATTGGCATAGATGCACTTCATCCACTCAACCTGTGGAAGGGAAGGGCCCTTACTTGGTGAAATGAAAAAGACGAGTACTTATTCTTGTTTTCAGGGCTGAGTTTGGTGCTTCCGCCTTCCTGACAGAACATTAGGAAAGGGAAGCATGGAGACTTTCCTTAACAAGGGTTCCTGTATGTATGTAAGCATGTTTGTACGTCTGGCAGGAAGGTGGAAGAGAAGGATGTAGTGGGAAAGTGGCAAGGGGGGAAATGCTACTGCCTACTGCTTCACTTCTCTAAGCTTGATGCCTTTCACTTGTCTCATGGGCACCCGAGTTCCCAAGGAACAAGCCTGCCACAAAGTTTCTAGTTTTTGTCTTCTGATATCTTTGGCCCTGCAGCTGTCTCCCAGTTCCACTGGCAAAGTGGCACAGATGCTCCTGTTTTGGAATGCAAGGACATCCAATGCCAGACTTTGGAATATTTCCAGTTGTGGAGCTTTTTTACTGAAGTCCATGCACTGGTCATCATGCCTGCAAGGGTGTTTTGTTGTTGTTGTTGTTACTACTTCCTTTTATGTGTGTGGCCCTGATAATTCTTCCACACCAACATCTTCAGAATGGTGGCGAAGGTGATAATACTCTGGCAATAATCTGATTGGCCAGGAAATACACCTTGGAATACCCATAGTTTCTCTTGTTGTTGCTGCAGAATGAAGAATAGGACCTTTTGCATGATCCCCTGGTGCTTGATGCTGACTTCAGGGCTTTCCCTTCCTTCTTGTCACCCTCCCTGGGGGGCTTTTCTATGACCACTTGCTCTGTAGGATGGATTCCAGAAGAGAGGAGGAGGGAGGCAGGTGGGGCAAACCAGGGCTTGCTCCAGCTGGGCTAGAAATGAGAGGAGTGGGAAGATTTGTTCCTCCCTGGTAGTTTTAATTAGGGCCCCTCGAGATGACCTGTTAATTGAGCATTCTTCCCAAATAGCTTGCACAATGCTTACATGGTGGTTAAACTGTTTCTTGTCTTTGTTGAGCATTCACGCTGATTTGTTTACAGGGTGATTATATGAAAATGAGCATTGTCCTGCATTCATCTCATTTGCTTACAGAGTGTTTATGTGTCTTCCTGTATAAATCACTGAACCTCTTGGGCTTGCTGATCAGAAGGTTGGCGGTTCGAAAGCACACCAATGCAAGTAGATAAATAGGTACTGCTGTGGCAGGAAGGTAAACGGCATTTCCGTGCGCTCTGGCTTCCGCCGTGGTGCTCCTTTGCGCCAGAAGCTGTTTAGTCATGCTGGCCACATGACCCGGAAAGCTGTCTGTGGACAAACACCGGCTCCCTCAGCCTGAAGCAAGATGAGCACTGCACTCCATACTCGCCTTTGGCTGGACTTAACCGTCCAGGGATCCTTTACCATTATTTGTTCATCACACACTTTTCAATGCATTACCCTGTCACTTCTCAAGCTGCAAAAAGACTTTTTTAAAAAAGTGGATTTGGTGTGTCAGGGTGACAGAGCATATCAATCCATTTTAAATGCACAAATTTAACATACTGGTATATGACTGACTCCTGACATTCCGGAGGTGCTCTAAGTTATGGTGCTGATATTTTGCTGAAAACTGCAGAGAAGCTGACAGTACAGTCTGTCAGTTGATCAGTCTCATCATTTTCAATACAGATCTGATTGCTGATCAGATGTGGCAATGAGATCTTTATAATTTCAGTATGGAAGCTTACTGCAAGGAGAACAGTAGACATCCAGGAGGCAATATCCATCTGGTAATGACAGAGGAATCAAAGAAGGAGTTTGAGATTGTCTCTTCCTAACAAATCTTCAGAATGAAGGAGTAGGTGGTTACCTTCAGGTAATAAACCAGACAGGCCAAAAAGTGCATCTTGGAATACCCAGAGCTTCTCTTGTTTCTGCTACAAATGGAAGAATAAGATTTTCTTATCTTTTTCATGATGCTCCTTTCTGAAAGTGACAGCATTCCCCACTGGAGCAGGAATCTAAAAGTGACAAGTTGAAGATGCCCAAATATAGGTTCAAAGAGCTCCACACTCTCATCAGGGAAGCACCAGTTCTGCTACAACACTCAGAAATATGTGGTAACTGGGCTGAGACAAGAAAGCCACCTCTCTCACTGATGAGGTTAGAGGACTGAGTCTATCTCATGGACATCTTAAACATCTCATTTGCAAGTGCTTAAAAGCCTGGACTCCCTCCAATGTTGCCAGTCCTTTATGAGCACATTAAAAAATCAACTGCATATTGGATCTTTGTTCTGCAAAAGTGACGGCATCCTTAGCTCTAATGTCCTTTAGGTACTTCTCCGCGGAATTAATATACTTTCCCAGAGTTTTGATAGAAACCATTTGTGTGAAATTGTTTAAAAGCTGTTTGAACTATTTTATTATACAGTACATACTGACTGTTCAGAGGACTCATGGGCTAAACACTGTTGTTTATGCCGTGAATAAGGTCACAGGGAAAGCAAAAACAGATGATACTGATGTATCCTTGATTTGCTCTTTGTTTTAAGAAAAATGTCTCTTAAGTGGGACCATCTCTGTTTGATAGCAGTTGTGATGGTGCTTGGAATTCTTTCTGTTGCCAAAAAGACCTGATTAAACTTTAAAGGGACACCTGAACTTATTTATACCAATTCAAGTGTGTTCTCATTTATAAATACTATTATGAAGAGTTGAATACAACTCTGATTTTATCCATGACATCTTCCAAAGCCAGATGCTCTTTAGGTCTTCAGTACTCACATAAAAATCCTTCTTGGAAAGCTCTCTCTGGCTGCTTCTGTACTAGCAAATTTCTTTGACATCATTCATTTAACTTGTTTTTATAGGCCAGAGGTATCCAATACAGTGATGAGAAGGGGGTCTTGTCGTCTGGGCCACCTGGGACCTCCATACACACTGCTCAGGCTTGCCCCCTAGAGAAGTACTTTGGTGCTGCTAACACAGCAAAAACAATGTGGGAGGCAGCAATTATGAGTTACCAATTACTACAGCCACAGCAGGCGCTGTGATTCTCCATTGTTTTGACTTCACCCCCAGAGGCACACTCTATTGTCTCTCGAGACAGAGGGATGCCAACAAAATGCTTCAACTACATCCAAGCAATAAAGAACCTGGGGTCAGCCTTGACCCTTCTTGATCCTGTGGCCATGTGTCTCCTTCTGATCTGTGTCCTTTGGTTTACTCTAATTCCTTCCAAATGTCAGACTTATTAGATTTTGAACTCCACTGAAGGATCTGTCTCCAACCCCACTCAGCTTTTTCGAATCTGGCTCCAGATGCCCGCAGTTGAGATATGATGTATTATTATAATCTAGCACTATGCTATCCTAATTTCAAATCTTTCACTGAAAACAGGACACTAAGGAACTTAAAACATAAACGAACATTAAGGTTTGCATTTCCTACTTCCACCAAGTAAGTTTATTTGTCCTACAGGGACAAATAAAACCGACCTGAAAATCTCATGTATTGAAAGAGCCCCTGTTTTTATCTCAACAACTGTTTACTACAAGCTCAATATTTATTCAAATGTTCTGCACCAGAAGGCCAATAGTTCAATTTCAAAAACATTGCTTTAATGTTATTGTAATTCTAAGGTCTTCACAGCTTCCTCTTTAAAACACAGCATCCCAGAAGCTCTCCTACATGATGGATGAATAGCATGGCATCCATAAGGGCTATGAATCTCTGCCTAGCCTGTGCCTGCCGTGACATCACAGCAATCAGCAACCTGTGACAGGACAACGTCCACAGCCTATGGATCATAGTCTGTGTTAGTGTTCGATATCCACATGCCAGAAGAAGCTCAGTAATGTATCAGTAGCTTTGTTCAGTGTCCTCTTATATTCCGAAACTTCTGTTTGCAACTGTTAAGAAAACAATTTAAAAAGAAAAAGAGAGGCATTAATTATATCTTACTTGAGTTCCTGTGAGCTTGTGGCCAGCATACTTCGAATACTTTTGTCAGCCAACGGGCAGCCAGACAGACTGTAAAACAGGTCAGGATAGCCATGTAAGTCAACCTTTTAAACTAAGACCTTCCAAACAAACACAACGTTAAGAAAAATTAAATTAATAAAAAAAAATATTGTAATGCAGAGAAGCGATGGGGGCGGGCAAGTGCTGCAATACTGAATTTTGTAACACAAGTTAACCCTCTGAATATATTTAGGTATAAAGCTTTATTGCTGGTGTTATCAGATTTTCGCCCTAATAAGTTTGTAGGTATAACAACAAAAAAAGCATTAGTGATCCATGGGTTAACTATCTGAAAAAGTTTTAGGAAATTTAAAAATGTTTTAGTAGTAGTTTTAAAAGAAAGAAGACGTTTATACAACACACAAATCAGCATGCTCTTAAGATCAACATTTATTACTCAAAGGGTTAACACATAGTTCAACATTTTTACTTTGACAGCATTGTTGAGGTAAGCTGAAAACAATAAATTGAAAAGACAGAATCCACCATGAAAAAAATGAAGTCACACCTTCTATGTGAGGCGTAATTACCAGTCACATGACCACTCCCATCACACCCTGGTGTTGGACATCTGCCACCAAACAAAAACAAAAAACAGCCAAAATAGTAAGTATGTTTAAAAAATACTTTTAAAAAGTTTCATTGTTTCCAGTTTAGCTGCAATGTCTGCAAGGGGGGTTTAAGCATCCTACCGAAAAAGCTGCAAAATGAACAGAATTCAATGAAAATGGCGTCTCAGTACGATATAGCAACATTAGGGACAAGCAGATACCATGTTAGCTTCATCACTTAAACTTAACTGACAGTCTGAAACATTTATATGCTGCAAATGCTGCATGCTCGTACTGCAAGGCATATATGTATTTGTTTATTCAAGTCAGACAACGAAAGAGAGAGAGAGAGAAAGGTTATAAAAGGAGTAAAAAATAATTTCACCTCACATTATGCTTACGTTATTAAATCCTTTTTATTCTCTTTGCACTGAGGATACTTGGGCTTAGGGCTTGGGATCGTGACTTCGCCAGGGTACCTTCGTTCTTCTAGCGCCTCTTGGAAAGGATCTAAGTCTTCTGGCTGCAGGCAAGGATAAAGATTAATCAGATTAAATAGCGGGCCATAATGGATAGAGGTATGCCAATGAAATGTTATCTTCTGGGCACAAGGCCTCTTCACCTACAAGAGTCACCCCATTCACTTCAGTGGAGTAAATACTTCCACATATGAATTGGATGCCCTGCGCCTTCAGCAAATCACTACTTTGGAAGGATTGCAGACTACATCCTCTGTGATGAAGTGAGAGGAACAGTCTGCATGAGCATGCGATTCTAAGTGCATACCGTATTTCACTGCATAATGGTTGCATGTTTTAATGCTGATGTTTCCCTTTTTTAAAAAAAGGGCTGTGTGACTATTATGCATAGGAAAACCCGAGGCACAACCATTATGCGAGGAAAAACCTGAGGCACAACCATTACGTGAGAAAACAATTCTTTATTAATGAACGTACTTATATTTCTGTTGCTTATTATTTGCTACTAACTGTTTTTGGTGCATCACTCATTGCAGTTTCTCTCGCCCGCCCACTCCCCTCACACCTTTGCCTGGTACAGAGAATGTGTGCCGAGTGCCCCTGTGACTATTATGCGGTGAATCCTTTGGGATTGATTTTAGGGACTGAAAAAGGGGCGTGGGACTATTATGTGGTGGTGACCATTATGAGGTATTAGGGCTGCTTCATAGGCTACCACAATAGTGTGGTTGCTGCTCAAAGTTCATTCCATCTGTTGGGAGCTTCACGTTGATGCTATCACTTGTGCAATGCGGTCACCGCATGGATTGGTCCTATTGCACAGAAGTCTCTTCATCCTCAGCTGCACACAAAGGAGAGGTGTGCATGCATTTTATTTACATACTGCAGTCCCAATCCATGTGATGAGATTCTTACATAAAGTAGCTACACGGAATGGTTGCCATATGGAAGTCATTTTCACCTGCAACTAACAATTGCCACTTTTTGCTTTCAAATTTGGTGGTGTAATTTAGAATGCGTGAAAGGGAATTTATTGCCGATTTAGAATTCACCTTCGTTTATTCAAATGGCTTGTGTGGGAAACTCCAAAATGTCAAAACCACATTTTATATAGATGTTTGCTAATATGGAGTAGCATGGAAAAATAGCCGAGAATTAGGAACTCTGAATGTAGGTATAAAAACTTCTACCATGCTGGGGTGGAAATTGCAATATGCTTGTTCTGTGAAGTTGCTCTTTTGGGTTTCAGTATCAACCACCCTGATTTTATGAATAGTTATGTACAAAAATCCACTGGTGGTTTTTTTTTTTTTTTTGTAGAATGAACATATGTGAAGACTTTACTCTTCCATATATAATATATTATCCAGAAAAACACAAACATAATAACAGAGTCAAATAATTAAATATCCAAACATAGTATTTGATATTTTATAGTCATATGCACAAACGATGCCTCAGTTCTAAATTACTGTTCTTACTAAGTATAGTTTGTAGGTTAGAATTCACAGCTCTCCACATATTGAATTTGGAAATGTTCAGATTAATGAGCTGAGAGGCTTGGACACAAAAATTCCTGTAGATGGCAGTCTAATAAAAAATATGAAAGTTCTGCTTCTGCTTGCTTTGCATATACTATCTTTTATGTATTTTCTCCTATTTTAGTGATAATGTATACAAAGCATATTCCATCATGTCTCATTTAAGGTGTGTGCCCCCCCCCAAAAAAAGAAGAAGCTGTGCCATCATTTATTGAACGAAGATTGATATGACAGCAGAGGGAAAGTGCATATAAGATCAGGCAATCAAAATGTACCATCACCAAATTCCTTGACACTAAAGTCTGGGACTGTAAGATCATGTCTGTATTACAGAAGCTTGACTATAAATTGTGCAAAGGAAAAGTTAGAACCTAACAAAGATAAACAGCATCATCATAAATAAAGCAGCACCGATGATTACCACAAGCCTCCTTTCCGAGCAACAATGGAAAACACAGCACATTCTACCTTTTTTGTCATTTGGAAATTTGTAATGAAAATATAGTCACTAACGAGATACTTCATCTTCTTTCTTTACTACCACTTTCAATGTCTGCAATGTCATCACAGCAACAAGAACACAGAAATAATCCCAAGCAGTTTCCTTTTTTTCCATTATGGTGAATGGCTAACAGCTTTTTCCAGTATAAGGACAAAAAAATAGGCTATCTATGTGACATGCCTTCTGCTCTGTTAGCAAAGCATTCTTTAATATCCCTGAATATGACAACCAACGTTGATAAGCTAGGCAAGTTAGTTGCACAAAATTGCAGTCCCCTGTGTTCATTCTAAATTGAACTTAGATAACCAAAGTATACCTTGAATTTCTGCAATGGAAATCAGAAGGATATGGAAAATGAGCACATGGTTAGTACAACAATTTCTAGTTAAAAGATTTGATCAAATGTCAACCATAGCCGCTTGTGGGTAAATCATTTCCCCACTACTACCACCATCACCACCATCAGTTCTTAGAAATTCAATGGAAGAAAGCATGAAAGAGACATACACTGATTTCTTTTGAATCATCTTCATCTATCCTACTAGGCTTCATTTTTGTGTAGTCCACCGGCAAATCCCAGCAGTCACTCTCACTCAGCTGGTAACACCTGTTATTCATCACAGCCTGTTGTTGAGGCGACATTGGTTCTAGGGGCGTCAAAATGGTGCAACAGCCATCTCGTTGCCGCTGCTTGTTCAAGCTCAAGTCTAACGTTCCATTTTCATCAACTTCCATATCAGGGTTCTGTTTAAAAACACACACATGCCAAGGGTATAGAGTTCAGTTTGTTGTCATCCATTATTTCCCATCACATACAGAGTTATAACCAAAACGAGTGCTCCATTTACAATTCTGCTTCCTGGCAATACAGCTGTATAATCTCTGCAAAACATTTTCTTGTTGCAAATTCTGCTGTCTTGATTTTAACTCCTTGACATGTCTAGTTCTTTGAGTTAACAACTATATGAATCTGATATGGCCTGGAGCGCCTTAATTAGGTGAGCAATCAACAACAGAAGCTTAACCGTTAAATATCAGCAAACCTTTCAAATGCTAGCAACTGTGGAATCAGAAAAGAGAAGTTTTAAGTACTAAACAAAAAAACACGAAAAACATACCATTCTCAACCAGTAACACCAACAGGCAGTTTCATGGGACTGGCCCCCATAAGCCTCTTTGTACTGTGCTTGCCACCTCCATATAAAGTGGAAATGTATTCAAACCACACAGACACCCCATCACAGACATTCAGTGATAAACTGCCTTTACATTCTACAAAGTCCTCCTTTATAATCATCTCAGCTTGGGGAAATGAAACTGGTACTGACATTCCCTGCAGCGATTGAGGAAGTGTGCTGGGAAAGTGAGGCATTTTCTTTCCGCCTTTCTACCTTTCCTTCTCCCTCTTTTATTTCCTTTTGCAAGTGAAGCAAAAATATGACACACACAAAAACACATACTACACACCTTCGAACCTCTGTTTTCCTAAAGCCAAAATGCACACAGCAATTCATATTTTAAGAGAGAAAGACCCTTCTCCCAAGAAATCTTATTTCAAGCGTGGCTCTGCTTCCTCATAGTTCTAGCAACCTGCTTTCCTTACAGTAATAAAAGCTTCCAGAAGACACTCCAAGAGAAAATATTTTCCCCATGCTTATTACCTAGAAAAATCATACATCACAATCCTGCTTGGATACTGTTTTTAATAGACCAAACTTGATTATTTCCTTGATGGTGATTTGGTGTGGCATTTACCTTCCCAGGAGTACCATTTCGATTTTAATAAAAGGGGAAAACATTGGGGAAGGGGGAATCCTTAAAAAAAGAAAATGCAACATCTCCCAGTGATGTTACTTAAATTTCTTCTACCTAAACTGGATTAATATTACATGCCAGGGAAAAATAGGTTTTCCTCTCTTCTGTATAATAATACAATGAATTCAAGCAAGATGAAAACAAAAGCTTTCTCCTTTTCTCTAAATTGACATTAATTATTTCTAATAGCTACTTTTGGGATAAGCTGTATTATCCATTTGTCTTTATCTTTTGTTAAAGAAAATTTCTCTGCAAAAAGCAGAATATGTTTGCCAGACACAAAGTTCACTTATAGCTTCAAAAACTTGCGTTTGATTCACCCTCTGAGTGTTTGTTTGTATAGCCATCTAGTGGTCTCATGAAGGAAGCATAGTTTTGCTGGGAAATGGTTTTAAACAAGCAACATCTCATTAACTCTCTGAACTTTTTTTTTTTTGTAAAGATGAAATTTCTTCACAATGTTTTTTTTAAGAGTCTTATTTCTTTTCTTTTTTTAAGACTGAATAAATTATTTAAGTACACGGTCCTAATTGTAAGGATTGCTCCTTTTTGTAATTAGTTCCTTTAGGCTTTGCCAAGTGGTTGTTAATCTATTAAGTGTTCACTAACACTTATAAAGTGGTGTCAGGCTGTGCAGCACTACTGTGTTGTGTTGAGCTGCATACTAGGGCTTCTGAAGACACCTGGGATAGCTTTATATTTTCAGACTAAGGTCTCTCAGCATTAGTGACGGACAGACAGACTTAAGTTCAATCCATCCCAGTTTTGTGTGAGGGTAGAATCAAGTCTATCCTGTCCCGTTTCTAGGTGAATTTTTAAGGGTAAGCCTTTTAAAATCCACATGGTGTGGGGTTGGGGGTTTTTTTAAGCACCTGAGTATTTGTTCCAGGTATTTGTGCTTACTCTACTGCATTCGAAGTGTGGGGGTGTCAAGGAACCTGACACTCAGGCTTTGGGTGGCTAGATAAACATTATTATTTTTAACCCAGTTTTAAAGGGCAAAAATCATTTTTAGAAGAGCAACCCTCAGTCGCCCCTCATAAAGGATTGTGGATTCCAAGCTGTACGCGTGATCCAGATATGATGATTCTCCCGGATCGAATCAGGTGAGTCTGCTTTGGAGTACAGGTTTGGCAGATTTCTCCTCCATGCCTAGCTCTGTGTAAGAAGTGTGGTTCTGACTAGCTAGTTCCCATCTTTGTGTACAGATACACGAGCAAAACAGGCCTTTCGATTAGTCAGTAGGGGTGCGTTAGCTCCTCATGTTGTTGGGAAGCATAGCTAAGTATAGATCTCTTTCCCCCTCCCAAACCTCCAATGGGAAACAGTTGGTATTCGGGGCCACCTGAGTTTGCATGCTTATTAGCAACAGGACTAACAGCCGTAATTCCGAGTCCCCACTACTGATGTGTCATTCAACATGGGCAGAACCCTCAGATCTCAAGTACCACCACGGGGAGATTCTCAGAAGTGAGAAATCAGAAAGCTGTTTTCAAGTCCCACACCAAAGAACGTGGAAAACAAGCCTTAGCTGCCAACATAGAATGTTCCTTAGGGTCAGGGTTGGAAACAACAGTTTTTAAACAATATCAAGACACTAATGCATGAAAACAAAGGAATGTATTTTTAAAATGTTTTCCATTGCTTCCAAAATTTTAGATCATGGTTTAAAGTTTTTTGAAATATTAAGCTGTAAATAAATGTACTTAACTATTATTTTTAAAAAGTGGGTAGTCGCAGACTTCCACTTTTGGGCCACAGCTTTCCATGGAAATGGAACATCTACCTTCAGTAACTCTTCAACCTTTTCAGACTCAGGGCCCACCTTTAAACCCAAACATGCATTTGAAGACACATTTCTTAATTTCTAAGCATAAATCTGTATAATCTTAGATCAGATTTTTCAATATGTTCAAGACACTATTAAGTGAATATTTATCACTGGACGTAGCAGTTTCCAGGGAGACACAAGCACCACACAAAATAGACGCGCAACATACAAGATGGAGTATGGTTGAAGTTTGAAGTTGTGAGGCGAAGTCACTAATCTTCCTACTGCCCTGCTAATGTTTATTTGTACACACATTAAGAAAGTGGCCCCATGTAGGCCTACTCAGGAGTCTAATTCCGCTGTGCCAAACCACTCTTACTTGCCATGCAAAACAAATCCATTGCCAAATTATAATTTAAGTAAAATAATAATACACCAATAAGCACATTAAAGCTATAGAACAGACTGTTCAGTGAATTCAGCTGACATAACCTTTGTAGTCTCCGCAGACCTCACCAGTTAAGGAAACATTTAACAATAACAGCAGGCTTTTTATTCGTTTCCACCCTGTTTTTTAAACTCTGTATTCTGAGCTAGCTCATATCAGATGGCTGCTGCTGGACTACCATAACAAAGCTGCAAGATGTCACTGCTAGAATTGATATGGAGAACAAGATTAAGCATCCTTGGAAGCTCTTGCTGTATTTATCATAGATGATTAGTATGATGCCAGTGCAGACAATAAAGCGTTATGCATTTCCCCATTCAACAAACAAATATACACAGAGATATAGAGGCACAGGTTTGTTTGTTTTTACCCTGGAACAGAGATCCTGAGGTTTAGTGGAGAGGTTCTGAGGCATCTCCCTGCAACGAGTGGAAAGGTTCAGTATAGCAGTAGCAGCCATGTGCGCTGCTTCCATGTCATGGGTATAGTCAAAGCTGCTCTTGCTGCAGGTACTGCTGGCGCTGCTGCCTCCTCCACAGCTCATATTGCTGCTGCTGCTAGGGGCATAACTGCTTGTTGTGCTGCTAGTTGGGCTGGAGTTCTTACAGTAACGTTTTGCTGTGGGAAGGAAATATGACAAGGATGACTCAAAAGGGCTGGCACTTATGTACGTACATGTAAAAAAGCAATGCAATCTGCAGAGAACGGTGTTCAAAAGGAACTGCAAAGACTATTAAGGGAGGGGGAAACCCAAGGGTGTGTTGTGTGTGTGTGTGTGTGTGTGTGTGTGTGTGTGTAAGGGAACCACTCCTGATAATTGTATGATATTTGAGTGTGGCTTCTTTTGCACAAGAAACCTGGATGTGATAGTGAAAAGAAGCAGAGCGATAATCTCCAGAGTATTCCGCAGCGACATTCAGATCAGTTTTATAGCAAGCAAAATGTGCACAATGCACTATAAGGAGGGCTTTTAAAAAAACAAAAACCACACACACACACACACGCCCTCTGTTAACTGTTGGCAGGAGAAGAAGGAATGCACTGCCCCAGGAAAACGGAAGAACTTGCACAAAGCTCCTAATTCACACTATTTTCTGGGGGAGCCTGACAGAAAAAAAGCTCACTGAGAAGATAATATGCTTGATCTCCTCTGTGTTGCCTTTGAAAGTGTTGCAACCTCAACAGTACATTAAGAAGGCATCCCCTCATTAGCTGAACCTGGAGCTACTGGAATTCCTACCCAGACAACTGTTTATGTAATATTAAAAGCTATTATGTCTTGACACAATATTTTTTTTAACAGTGTCTAATATACAAAGGTTGGTTCAGATGCAATGTCAAAAACCATGGTACCTGAAAGTTTCACCTGTGGGGCAAATAGATGGTATTGGGGCAAGAATATAATCAGGAAAGTGGCACAGCGTTAAGGGGTAAAATTTCCTAGCCCAGTTCTATGGCTTTGATCTGAACCCAGCCCCTCCCCCTGTCAATTGCAAAGACTATTTAATTTCTAAAAGCCTCCGGAGACAAGAACGGAAGGGAAGCCTCCTGGATCAGGCCAAAGGACCATCTACTCCATCATTCTTTTCTCACAGGAAGTTCACAAGTAAGGACTTCTACACACTTGGTCTATGCATCTTCTAAAGCTATGCAGGTTCATGGCCATCACTACCTCTTGTGAGAGCAAATCTAATAGTTTAGCTATGCCCTGTGTGAAGAAGTGCTGTCTTTTGTCTGTCCCGAAGAGCCTTTTCACAAATCTTCCATATCAACATCCGGAAGGACGGCAGTTTCAAAGCAATGTCTGGGTCCCACAAAACTCTATGCGTAAATAGATCCTAAGCTTCACTGGCCCAGGCAGTCTCTCTGTTTTAGAAGTGGTCACAGTGATTCAAACCATTTGATTTTAGGCATCTAAGTTGCGTGGCTTTTTGCATGTTATACCAATATCATTAAAAAAAAAAAGAACCCTCCTTACTGTCACTACTTTATGTTCTGGGCACGCATTGGTCACCTGACATTTTTTTTGGATGAACTTTGACACAAGCTATGCCTCGATATTAACATTCCTCAGTTAATATGCCAAACCCTTTGCTCAATTTTCATTTTTAATCATCTGGCACCATAAACTGATGTTTAATTTCCAGATACTAAAATAATCACAGATATTTAGACAACATTGTCTATTCAGAGAACAGCTTCACCCATAATTTGTCCCTGTAATACTGAAATAATCAATATGGATCAATATATAATTTGTTGACAATATGAATGCTATGGGGGAAGTGTTGGGGCATGTCTGAAGAGGAGAAAACTCAGGTTCACCTCATACACTGCAAAAATACTTTAGACTATATTTCTTTTTCCATCTCCAACATCAACATAATGAAAAATTACAATTCATCAATACGCCACCAACTCTACAGAGATCCATTGGTGTATTATCTATATAGCCAAATACATCTGCTTGCTACAAGCACACAGGACACAATTTCATGGGGACAGAACAAATGTTTTGTGTACAGTAGTAAAAATGTACAAAGAAAAAAACTGAGGTTGAAAAGGAAGCACAATTAATTTGTTTAAAGAATGTCAGCACAAATCTTATTCCGAAAAACACTTGTTTCTTCTTCCCACTCATTTTGACTTTCCCCAAGTCATTCCTCATTTCCTTATTATTAAACCTCTAACTTCTCTGCATACAGTCTCTTATTCGTTTCTATTGCACAACCTATGAACTGCCAAGTTGAACACAGTCCATCATCAACCATAAAGGTCCAGCCGGACTTCAATAAACCCCTTTTATTGCTTGCTTGAGACTTGAAAACAAATGCATTCTCTGTGTTGACACCTTCCCCAATTGCAGACTGTCCCTTCCCTGGAAACATGTCTGCCTTATGGCATTTTGGCACCAGACAGAGACCTGTTTATTTGCCCAGACATTTATGGGTTGTTAAGTACAGTTATGGAAAGTTGGCCATTGCTTCAGTTTGTGACTGAACCATGAATGAATTTTAGAGTTCTGTTTTTATTGTCTCATAATTGTTTCAAATTGTTGTAGTTTTCAATTATGTTGTAACCCATCCTAGAGTGATGTGATGAGGAACTGGCTAAGCACATATTTTTAAACAAAATATCAGGAGAAGGGGTGATAAGGATATGACTATCACAATAATATCTATTTATAAGTTGTACAGAACTGGTCAAATGTAAGTTCCCTGGGCCAGGAAAAGCTTACTTCTGTATTATATACTAGCTTGCTGCTGAAGCATAATAGACTACTTATTAGTAGCACCAGCAGTGCAACCACAACATTGGTTGGATTAAATCCAAGTACTTCTGCCTAACTAGGCTGTGTTTTGATGGAATTATAGCTATTCTCATCCAGTGATCTTCTTTTCTTGCTTAATCCTAAATACAAGTGAATAGATAAGAGAAGAAATTTGTGTCAGGACTGAAGGTTGCATCTAACAGTATAACTGCATGAGCAGAACAAATACTGTACATGCAACAGAACTTCCTCTCCCTCTCCCCTCTCCTGCCCAATCTGCTCTTCCTAACCTTCGAGAGCAGGTTTCGGGTGTATTTGTGCAAGGGGAGGAAAAGTTCCACTGCGTGAGCAGAAGTCATTTGTCATGTTCAATGACTTTGTTGGATACAAATCCTTACATTGAGGATTGACCCTACCATTAGGCAGAGTGAGGTGGCTGGCTCAGGTGGCTGAGTTCGGCTGTCAAGAAAGGGCAGAAAATAATTAATTTATTGTCATTTTTTTAAAAAATTTTTTGCTAGGGAGAGATGCTTGTGGTATTTTCTGTATCATGTGCCAAAATAATTTGGACAGTCTTGGTTACTATGCACCTTGACTTTAAGAGTGCCACCATTTGCTGCTCTGCCTCAGGCAGCAAAACGTCTTGGGTGGCCCCTCTTAGCCACTTTATACTTTCAACATTAACATCAATACAACTGCTGTAGTAACCATCACAACACCTTTTTATGCCTCGCATACAATACAGGCCAACTTCAGTTCATACTATATGTTCTCTCACCTTGCACAGTGCAGATAAGCCCCATTTAGATGTTCTCCATCACTGACAATCCAGTTCAACAAATCCTCACGGAATAGCCTACACCTTAAGCACGTTCTTAGTCTTCTGGCCTCCCCTAAGAATGCTTAAGTTCTTTAGTGAATTGAGGTCCTAAAAGGGTAATTCCTTGGTCCTTACTACACTTTAATTTATACAAACTATGAAGACATAATCCATGCCAATTCTTGTGTGTGAAGGCTTCAATGCATACACACAATAGCTGTAATCCCTTTCAAAACCCCACTAGTTCCTCAAAAACTCTTTCATACCGGTTTTATTAAATTTGTGTATAAATTGACATGAGAAAGTAAAATCATGGCTAGGCTGCCATTTATTGCCCTGCTTCTGCAAATGAAATCCATTACTGGGTTTGCGTGAGGCATTACCATAGTGTGTCAGATAACAGACTTTGTAGACTTGTTTTTCACTATATACTCATCCTTTGTTTGTTTTTTTAGAATAAAAAAGAACTCAGAAGATGGGTGTGTATGCGTCTCATACCTGCGTTTCATGTCTTCCCCCAAATAAAGATAAATTAAGTTATTGTCCAATAACAAGAGAGCACTGTACTAATCAGTCCAACAAATGGAACCTGATATCGTTATCTATGTTTGTTACATACAAAAACAACACTACCACAGAATTTTGTTGTGGAGTCTAAATATGCGTATCGGCATCGACACCTGGCATTCTCACACAGTTGACAAGGCCTCAGGATCTTGGCAAGACTCACACATGCTGACACCTGTCTGGTTCCCCCTTTTGCTGGGCACCTTGTGTTGTGAGCAGCTGGATAGGGAGTGCTCTGTATTCCAACACAGTGCTGCTCCAGGTATAGCGTGAACTATCATCTAAATTATGTCAGGATTGGCTGTGGGTGGGGAAGGGATGCAGAATTACCATACAAACAGGTCCCAGAAACACTCAAGCCCTCTTCACTATGATGCACCTAGAAAGTTGGGCAGACTGCACACTTCCCACTTTGTCTACACAGAATTTCGGTGCAGTCCAAACACAGGATTGCTCAAAGCGTCATCTGTTATTCTGGATACTGCTGGTATGCTTAAAGAGGCAACAGAAGTCTCTTGCTTTATTTAAAAAAATTACAACCCCCCTTTTTTACAAAAACCTTCTACCTTGAAGGTTGCCTTGCAACAAAACGATGCAAGCATGCTCCAGTTTGTACAACTTTCGCTACTTTTCACACCAATCTCACTCTATGTCTGTTCCAAGATGTTAGGTCTATTGTGGGTTTTTTTGGACTATGGTTAAGATTGTCACTTGGACATTTCTGTACCTCTTCTTCATTGCTAGGAACCAGATTGTTTTACACTGACATGTTGTGTATTAAAAAACAGAAGTGAAAACATGGGACACATCTCCCCTCCCTCCTTCTGCCCACAAAGGTCTAGTAATCATGTGAAGTCTCGGTGCTAATCTATATTCCACAATCATTACACTCCCCCCGCCCCCCACCAAAGTAGAGTCATCAGCAGCTGATATATAAGAATTACAGGTTTTCCAGCACTACCCTCGCTCAGCCCAAAACGCCCCCATCAAGAATTTGGTAATATATTAGGGCCATAATTAACATGACTAACAAAAGGTGTTGGAACTGCAGCTAAGTTCAACACATTTCCATTTCTCAAACCTCAGAGAGCAAGCACATTATCTTTTGTGAGTTAGCAAAGCATTACATAACCCATAAGTCTGGCTCTCCTAGACATTAAAATGGATGCTAAACCACATGGCCTGGGGCCACTGCCCATTTGTATTGCAAACTTAATAACAATAATCCACCAAACTCAATCATTAGACATTATTTGGGGAGGGGGGGAAACAAAGCATGATATAAATCCAGCATGATATAAAGTTTTTGACATGCTTTCATGAAAAGTTCTAGGCAACACCATCACCAAATGAATAGAATTCCCTTAATATAGCAGAAGTCTGCTTATCTGCTTTAAAAACAAACAAAACAAAAACACATCCTCATTCTTGTTGCTTTTCTGCAACCTACCTATTGTTGGCCAAAGTTGTTTTAATGTCAACCTTGTGTAATTAAGGACCAAGTGATATTGACCTGTGCCTCAACTTTTTCGGCCTAATGGATCAGGCCGCAGAAGCAGTTGTGAGTCTCAAGGCTGCAATTTCTGACATAGAAAAAGGCAGAAACCATACCATTTTTATTACTACCAAGCAGGCAGGTGAGATAAATAGACTTCCGCTCTATTACATGGGAATGAACATATACAATACTCAGATGCGGTCTGCATAACCCACACCATTGTTAGATGCAGATTGGTTTCTGATGATTAAAGAGTGTGCACCTCATACCATCATATCCTTTGGGAGAAATATCCCTTGATTGCACCTTGGGAGCTATGGCTCTCTTGCCATATGCATGGTTGTCATAACTGTTATATTCAAACGTAGTCTTAGAATATTTCTCTAGTTCCTTGGCCAAGTTGGAGCGGGGCGTTGTGGTGGGGACATTGTTTCTGTAGCCATACTGAGGGATCTCCAGCTGCTTAACAAAACACATGGGCCTAGAAATTAAACAAAAACAAACAAACACGTACAGTGTGTTAGACAGATAGTACACAATTTGAAGCCTTGATAGTAACACTTCTTTCAGTTTCTTTACTGCACACAAGCGGCAGCAATGCATTTATTTATGTATTTGTATAAGCGCTTAAGTTGTGTTTTAGCAGGACACCTTCCTTCAACAAAAGCCCAGAGAAAACAAATTATAATTACACCACATGTGGCTAATAGCAAAAGAAATAGGGAAATGGTCCTATTAAACCAACAACAACAACAACACCAACACCAACACACACACAGATATGTTCCCTTGCTATATGAGGCAATAAGGGGAGGAGCATGATTACAGCAGCTCTGCAAGGAGATAGCAAAAGTTACCTGAGCATATTACATGTGCATATAAGTTTTGGAGCAATAGCAATTCCAGGGCCTACCTGCCCCCGGAATAATTTCTAAATCTAGGATGATCAAATTGCGGGCAATGAGTCCACATGCGCTTTGATATCTAGTGCGTCCATCAACCTCCTGAAGTCTACTCATTGAACTATACTGCCACTGGACCTACATTTAACAGCACTAAAATTTTGAACTGGTTAGTGCTGGCACCATCAGGGCATAATGGTTGACATGCCTCCTTTATACATACTTTTTTCTCACCTACCATTAAGAAAAGGAAAATGCCATATTGGCAGGCTTGTGTGGTGAGATCAAACAGACCTTTTTAAAGTTCTGTGATTTGACTATTTTGCTGTTTCTTTGCGATATCTATGGTCTTATTTCAACTGCTGTTGACCTTAGCATCGCTGGGAACTCATTATTGCAACAAATCATGGTGTATAAAATTAGAAGCTTCCCACAACCCCTCCCCCGGAAGAGACCAACTCACGTCTCTTCAAAGGTGAGGGGTGGTGGGACAAACTCATCCCTGATAATTGTGGCAATGTCATTTTCAAGTGCTTCCCCACTGCAATCATAAAATGGCAAATATATAACAATGCAAAATTTAAAAACATCATATATATATATATATATATATATATATATGTAAAAAACCCCTTCTAAGCTGAAATAAAATACAGATGGCAGATTTGCTCCAATGCATGACTGTAAATTTGTTAAAGGAAAGCCTCAACTGCACTATCATGGATGGGAGCTCAAATACATATTAGGCTGTTTAATAAGATGGTCTGATAATATAGCTTGGCTTTGTGCCTCTCAAAGTGAATGTGAGAAATGTTACATAACCATAAACTTTTAGACTTCCAAAGTATTATTTTGTTGGAATTTAGGTAAAAGATATGTATGTATAAATAAGATTTTATTACTCATCCACTTTGATTTTATTTCACATGCTGGGGTGGAAAATTACTTCTGAGAGAACAGAGCCCAACAGTGTTCTGCAAACACAGAACCAAGATCAATAAAGCAAAAAGCTGCTTTATACTATGGAAATAGAACTCATATACTGTGCCGTCAAAACAAATACTAATTGTACACTGGATCACATATTCTGTAAATCAGATTTCTTCGCAAAAGGCTTTAAAAAATGTATCCTACTCCACTTGCAGTGCAAAAGGGATATTTCCCCAGGAAGCACCACCTCTGTGGGAAATTTCGTTGTCCCCGAGAGGGGGCAATGACAATAAAGATATTATTATTATTATTATTATTATTATTATTATTATTATTATTATTAAATCCTAAGTAACCTGGCTTCAGTTCTGGATGCCAAAGGCACCACCATTTTGCTAAGCCTGAAGACAAAAAGGCAGAAGCATGTTGTTGCTGCTAGGTCACATCTTTAGGTCAAGGTGTGCAGCAAAAAGCCCCCCAAAAACTTGGACGCTTCTTATGGGTTACTCTGTTTGAAATCAAGTTGAAGGTAATAACAGCAGTCGATACGTGCTTAGCAAGCACAAATATCACAGGGCGAGCTTCAGAGTTTTCATCTTAAGAGCTCTTACAGGAGAAAGGCAGCGGAGAAGTCAAATCTGAGGTGACAATGTAACTCAGATCATCTATCAAGATCTGAAAGGCACGACAGTCCCAGCGGCAAAAGCAAAAGTGCCAAAACATCTATTTGAGGAATCTGTCAAAAGCTCAGGTGCTGCTTCTTATAAGAGGCTTCTTTTGCATGGCATTTGACTTTGCACTAAAGAAATTCTGGTTCGAAAGCAATGGCAAGGCTACACCAGCTTTGTTCTGTTCCTCTTGGCAGCTGCCACGGAATAGTCTTATCTGTGGTACTGTTGTTTTGATCAACAAAGGAGTTTTCTCCCAAAATTGTATCTGAAGTGGAAGAGTATGTGGAACACCAAACCCTAAATCTGTAAACTCACATCGTATTTCTGAATGATGAGCAAAATCAGCCATGCTTCTTCTTTGGAAAAATAATCTTGTTTTTCTAATGGCATAGGGAAAGCACACTGATGCATATGTGATGTCTGCGCCTAATTTAACTATCATTCCCTCCCATTTTTAGACTGTAGAAGCCAGGGAAAAATAATACCAGGGAAACTCTGCAGTGTTTGGCTTTCAAATAGTGGCATTCACTATTAGCAAGTTTTGCCGTGCTTTGCATTTTCAGTCTTCCAGATTATGGAGTGATTTGCAACAAAACCTGCAGTTCCAGGGCAGTACTAAGTGCATTTTCAAATACCATTTGAATGAAGATTAGAAACATCATTAGTAGTAAAAACCACCACAAGATTTCTAGGCTAAAACACGATCCCTGCTTTCTTTTGTGTATATATTATTAAAATGTCTTTGCCACTGGATTTGCATTGCCATTGGATTAATGAGAGATCTGAAGGCACTCTAAATGTAGCTTCAGACATCACGTTTGTGGGTTTGCTTTTGACATCACTGTAAGTCGTAAATGCACGTGGAAATGAATCCAAAATAGCCCAGCATGTTTTGACCAAACCCTCAGCTTTAAGCTTGAGTTTTGGCTGGATTTTTTTCAGATGATCCAGTATCATGAGGCCACTAAAAATGGTCATTAGACATGTCACTGTGAGAGAGGAAAGCAGAATCTAAATCTGTACCTTCAAGTGAAGCCATTCTGTTAATGTTTACAATTAACTAGTTTCCTGACAGAAAACATAGGAAAACTCTCTCTTTTTTCCTAGGGAATGCTGTGTACATTACATATATGCATTTAATTAGAAAATATTACAGCAGTTGGGTGACCTACACAGCACAGGACATAGCCTTAGGATCCTGACTCTCAAGATTCCCAAGAAAGGTAACTGCTTCAAGGAAATGCTTATAGGTTCTGCACAGGACAACCTAAAAATTGTATTCCTGAGGAATGAGATGAATTATGAATTATTGGCAGCAATAAAACTGTAAGCCATATGATGGTGTAACTTTATCATTCTTTTTAGAGAGAATAAGAAGCCAACTAAACCTCAGTGGGTGCTTTTCATTGTTAAATCTAAGAATGAAAATACTTTTGAATTAGAAATCCATACTGGCAAACTAAAATTTTGAAAAATAGGGCTTCTGGTTTTCATTTAAACTGATATTTACTAGTAAACGCCTGCTGGAAAAAACAAGACTTACCGGTAAATATTAGTTTATTTCCCAAAGATATCAACTTTTTTTCACACTGTTCTTAGTTTCAGAACTCCAGCAGGCAGCTTTACACCAAACAATGCCTAAGACAAAAATGAGCTTTTCAGCTTTATTGATATTTGCCAAAAAAACATTAACCCACCCACCCCCAGGGTATATTGGTAGGCAGATAAATGCTGAGAACAGGATCCAGAAGCCCTAATTCTAAACACTTCTTCAAGGGTCGTATACTTTTTCTTTCTTTTTTTTTAGTGCTCAGGCTAACTTATTATGCAATTAATCTGGTATACGCTATTAAGTGTGAGAGCAACTCTTAATACCTCAAGACACGATCTGATGCCTGGTTTGATTTGGATGCATCACAGCTCTGATGCTTCTCTTGAGCTTTAGCCAGTTTCTCTGCTGCAGCAATAGGACATCCCGAGAGGCTGCAATTACAGAAAGAAAATGTAATTGTCGTGTCCTGAATAGCTTCATAGAGCCCTTCTTAGTAAATATAAGGAGGAAGCTTGCCAGGAACAAAATAATCTGCTTTTTGATGCCCTGCGTTACTCCTCTTTGATGCACAACTCTAGCCTTTAAAGACACAGGGCTGACATCATTAGAAAATAAAATAACTTCCTATCCCACTGTACATAAGAAAAGTTCTGTGAAACGTGTGACCCACCAAGCCAAACATACTTTCCAAGCTACATATTGCGGCATGCCAGCCAGGTACTTGAATATTACCGTTTTAGCCGTTCTACAATTTCTGCAAAAAAATAAAAGTTGAACGAGCTGTTGATCAACCACCATAAATAGCTGGTGAGCTGCAATCAGCTTGATAGGTCACAAGTTATGCTTCAGTTTCGTGTTCTGGTAAATGTGCAGAAGAACACTACTTACTGCCAGGCAAACAGAATGAAAATCTGAAAATTCCACTTTGCAATACTGTCGGGCAGGATTGCCAACAAGTATTATCCGCTTTGGAAAACTTTGTTATTTATATCACTACACTGGTATTTCAGTGGCAATGACGTGTAGGCCAAATTACGCAGGTTAACACATCACACAATCATCGTTTTGCTTTTAAATGAAGGCTGCAACCCTGAAGCTGCTTATTTGAACATAAGCTTTGCTGAATTCAGGACTTACAACTGGTAAAGATGGTTAGGGCTGACCTGCAAAATGAAGCTGTGCCAATTGTAAATCAAAATAGAATTTAGCCTATAAGTGAAGATATTTCTTGCTGCTGAAATGGATGGAAAGCTGCCTTGGAAAGAACCCAGAATCATGAGGATACAGGAGCTATGGAGCTGAGCATATAATGACAGTACTGCTTCTGCTAGAAAACAGTTTATGAGAAAAATCAACAACACACTGGAAGTAGCATATATATGAACATTATGACGAGGTAAAGGAAAAGTTGTTTATCTGGTCATAGTTTGCAATATGCTTATCTGATTTCAAAATTTCTACAGAGGAAATCAATACACCCTATGGCAGAATTCTGAACAGAACTTCACTCTGAATCTTCCTGAGATCTAGAAAGTCATTCCCCTTTCTATAGGGGAAAAATAAATCATAAAGCCATAGAAATGTTTAAGAGAAGACACGATACAGTAAATGTTTCCTAAACTTCCATGGATTACATGGCATGCACTGAGGTGACATGACCACTGGAGTTCATTCATTCAGACATCCTCCATGCCTCTTAGCAAGAGATTACTATTGCTAACCAGCAACACCCATTCTCAAAGTAGATATCTTTTAGGGAGCATGGCAGAGGGGGCCAGGAATGGAGAATCAAATAATGCAGACAGAAAGAGGAGTGCCAAACAGCACTCCTTGATGTCTCAAAAGCCATGGATCTGAGACATGGTGTTTTAATAATCCTACAGCTTTCCCCAGTGCTATTGTCAAAGCCATGGACATTAAGCAGGGTCAATATTTTTTACAGTTTCATTTAAGGTGGTGGACTCTCCTTCATTGGAAGTTTTTAAGCGGAGTTTGGATGGCCATCTGTCATGGGTGCTTTAGTTGTGATTCCTGATATATTTGTTTTTAACTTCTTGGGCTCAATTACAGTGGGTTGGATCCAGAGTAAGCTAGTTGAATTTCGTTTATATTGAAATCAATGTGAAAAGTCAGCAATAACTAAAATGAAATTTGGTTGCCCTTCACATTAGCTATATTTAAGGGCAGGTTTGTCTAGGCCTCCAGGTTTTTGGTTGATGTTGACTCTGGAGCCAGTTATATTATTTACTGCTGCTGAGTTGGGTTTAAAATGTTTTATTTTCAATTTTTTTAAAAAAAAATTAGCTGCTGTTGTATGTTCTAGGTTGTGAGCTACCCTGCTGGAGGAAGAGTTTGGTATAAAAGCAATCATACATAAATGAAGTCCCATTGATTTCAATAGAAATGAAGGTCAAATCACGAACACCACAATCCATGTCTACTCAGAAGTTAGTCTTACTGAATTCAGTGGGGCTTATCCCCACTTATGTGGGATTCTCAGTCTGGATCCAATCCTTTTATCTTCTGTCGCTTTGGATGGGACTATCTCCAAAAGCAAATTAAAAAGAAAACAACTTCCTGTGGATTTTAAGATAATTTGAAAATAATCCTGCTGTTTTAGTCCTTTATACAAGAAGACTTTACTATCTGTGTATAGAAATTTAATAAATAAATAAATAAATAATAATAATTTCCAGTTCTACACAATTTGTCATTTACAATGCACTGGAATCCACAGCACTTCATTAACAAAACAAAACAAAACAAAACAAAACAAAACAAAAAGTTAGTAGGCTAACATGGTATAAAGAAACTATCCTGGTTCTGATTAGATACACCTTATTTTAGTATCATCAGTGATATTCTCCAGAAGTGCCATTTTAGATTTCAATCAGGTGGCAAAGAGATTTCAGTAGAGCTGAGGGGCCTTTGTGTGTGTCAGGATTCGTATCATGGTTAAGAGGCTGCTCTCTGAAATATTAAAGTGCATATTGTGAAGAAGCAGAACATTTAAAGAAATTTGTTGCAGCTACTTTTTTTTTGTACCTCAAAACAACCAGATATGCAGGTGACTCATATTCAAATACAGGTGAGAAATGATTACAAGCAGCCTGAAGCATTGTGGGAAGGAAGGGTAGCTAGCGACCTCTCCCCCAATGATAGAAAATACCTATTGCAGCCTGCTGAAGGAATTTAAACTTGTATATTCAATTCTCGCTTAGGAAATGCAAATGCTGGCCCACAGTGACAAGCCTTGAAATATAGCTTATTATTTGAATTAACTGTGCGCCAGAGTTAATCCTCTCATACGATAAGCCGTAAAGGACAATCAGACTGAGCACATCAGTCCATCTGCTCAATTAAGGCCCAGAGCATCTTCACACACACACACACACACACACACACACACACACACACACACACACAAACACACACACTTGTCAGGAGACGTTCAGAGGTGTTGTTGCTGTGAAATGGTATCCACCTACATTATAGCTCAGTGAGCACATCATCTTACCTTCTGTGAGAATTCCTGTTGCTATTTACGTGGCCTCGGCCTGTGCAGCCTGGTGTAGGACACTTAAGAACGTTTTCATGCATGGCAAGAACTTGACAAGGAGAAGGAAAGGAAACAGCAGAGTGTGGAAACAACAACAAGAAGAAAAAGATTTCAAGTCCCAGTCTGTAGGAAGCCATTTTAGTACAAAGCAAGATTAATTAATGATCAGCATTCCTGAAAATAGACACATGACAGGTATAGCCAATAAAAGCCTGGTGAAGGAAAGAGGTGTTGTGGTACTCATTAACATAGGGATGATGTTAATACATTAAGAGTTATGGAGGGCAGGTTATCTAACAATTAATGTGTCTCTGGTGTGACAGTGAAGCAGGAGGCTGCATACATAAGCACTGAGCAAAAGCACTGAAAAGCACAGTGGTGAGTTGGAGGTTGGAGCAGTTTTAAGGTGCAGATATGCAATAATAAACTTATTAGGTACACAAAGCAGGCATCCAGAATCTGGAGTCCATAATTGCATAAAATGTGTGCGAATTCTGAGGTGCTGAAAGCAGTACCAGAAAGATCTTTGAAGCCCAGCTATGGAATTGGTTCCGAGCCCCGCAACTGCCTTGATTACGTAGGACTGACGCTTGTTAAAAGTTCAATGGCAGTTACACTCATGTTGTGATCAGAATAATTGCTAAAAAATAATAATCTATAGCTGTCAATAAATCATAAAGGGTCCAAAAAGGAAGAAGAGAAAAAAAGGGGGAGAAACCAATGTAAGCAAAGAATGTGTGCACATTTTAAAGTCAAGGGGGTGGTGGAGTGATAAATTAGGAATAAAAGGAACCAACAAGGTCTGGTTTAAACAAAAAAAGGGTTGTCATTTTCCACCACCAAGCAAGCATTGGGGAGGGGCTGCAATTCAGCGATAGGGGAGCACACTACTTTGTAAATTGCATCTCCGCTATTTTCCAGTGTGGGATTTGAAATAACAGGGATCCCATCCTACAGATCTCAAAGTCTCTGGATTCAATACAATAGGACAGTACTTATAATTTACTTGAACTGAGAACCATTATGTGCCAAACATTCACTTTTTTTTTAACGTTTAAAAATAAATTGAGCTGCATCCAATTGGTGTGCATGTGTACAACATGAAAAATGCTCAGATCTGTGTCACTGTTGCTGGACGACTAGTGCAAAATTATGCTACATTTCAAAGGAACCAATCTTAAAAAAAATCATGTGTAATGCTTACACAAAAGCCTAGAGGACATAAGCCTGTGCATAATTGATTTAAAGAATAGTCACAACCACCATCATTCATCACCATCACCACACTACTAGCAGTGTACTAAAGATGTGAAAGCTTCACTTTGGATTTCCTGCTATTCAAAGCTGTTCTTGAAACATGCTTTACAAGCCCAGCACTGCAGGAACAGGGTAAGGAGGAGGAAAAAAAAGAGATAGAAAGAGAGAGATGATCTCACCTTTTTCACTTTTGTCACTACTGAACATGCAAACCGTTTAAAGCTATATTCTTCTTTGATTGGTAACGTTTTCTAAATGCTTTATGTTTACCATTTACATTGGTGGGGTGGGGAGGAGATGAACCGCTTTGAGGAACTGAGTAAACATTTGTGTTTGAGAAAATTATAGGGCCTTGCTAAACTGGAAATTGAATTCCTTTGATCAGCTCGATTCACACACCAGCTGAGAAGCAGTGTTGCTTCCTTAAGAGGGATTTCCCTTTCTGCGAGGTTTAAGGGAGACTATGAAATGGACAATACTCTGCCACGGATGCCCTCATACTACTTTTAACTCCAGACTGAGTAAGTGCTTTCAAGACTCAAAAGTTTCTTGCAGCTTCTCTTTCCAAATCTTCATTGTCATGAATGAAAAATACTTTTTTCACTTAATATATGTGATGATACTACATCACATCGTAATTACTTCTCAATGTAATGGCAACATGCAGAAGCACTCTCATAGCGATATTGTTTTCAGTGGCAAATATATTAAGAGCTGCTTTGTGGAAAATGACTGTCCTCACCCTAACCCGATGGGGTGATCCTTAAGAAGAATTGAGACAGTTTCACACTGTGTGGAATTTGACTAAGTTCTAAACAGAGGAGACCCACTGAAATTAATGAACATGACTAAGGTCCCTTAATTCTAGTGGGAATTCTTGATCTCGCTACTATATTAAATATGTTGTTCTGGTGTTTTATATTTATTATTGTTGTTTTTCATTGCAAGCCACTTCCACTATTGTTTTAATGGAAAAGTGGGGTGTAGCTATCAAATACAGTGGTACCTTGGCTCTTGAACTTAATTCATTCCAGGAGTTTGTTAGACTCCCGAAACCATTTGAAAACCAAGGCGCGGCTTCCAATTGGCTGCAGGAGCTTCATGCACTCAATCAGAAGCCATGGAAGCCACATTGCACGTCCGGCTTCTGAAAAATGTTTGCAAACCGGAACACTCACTTCCAGGTTTGCGGCGTTCAGGAGCCAATTTGTTCGACAACTAAGCCGTTCGGGAACCAATGAATCAAATCTACATGTAGCCCAGCTTTTAGAAAGCCACCATCTTGCAAAGACTGGATAGCAAAGTTGGTAAGAGTGGAGTGCTGGTGCTGACAAGTGTGGTGCTGACAAAGAGTGTTCTCCTTCATGGAGAGCACGTGTTGTGGTGGGGTCATACAAGACATCCCACTGTTGCTGGGTGGGTAAAGGTAGTTGGCCACCATTGCGATTGGGTTCCTCTTGTCATTGGGGAGAATTTGACGTTGCCATTTTTTGATTGACAGCCAAGAAGTTTTATATTCCCTGCACGCAGCGTTGAGCTTCCTATTTTCGCTACGTGCATCGGATTACCCGCCCACTCTCCCTATATTTAGGGTTGTTCGATTTGACCTTGCTATGCCTGTCATGGGGTCGTTTGCTTTTGGTGCAGGGGCCTGGTAGGAATTTTGTCCATTTGGCTGATTGGTGCCATTTGGTTTTTGCCTACTGCATAGCAAATCGTCAGAACTTGTAAGGTTACGGTTAGGCATTGGTTGTATGAATTGGTTGGTGGAGGGGCATGGATTGGCTGTGCCTGCCCCTCCAATGCTGCTGCTGCTGCAAGGGCATTCTGTTAAAGGAATCCAGGGGCTCGCCATGCTTTTGTCCAAACCCCTGTCAAGGGGCTAGGGCCCCTGGGAGCATTTGGGGAGAGGTGAGGGCATGGTACCCAGCTCCATCGCTCTCCCCAAAGTGTTTTCCCTTTCTGCAAATGTCAGTCTGTCCCCGGGTGGGGTCAGATAGTCGCAACCAATGCCTAAGCAACCACTCACATTTTTTGTCTTTTAATAAAGTTGTGGCCAAAATTATGCCAAAAACCTTAAACAAAAATGCAGTGTGAATTGTGTTTTATTGGGGTAGCTTGGGGACCTCGACACGCAACACCCGGTTGCAGGTTTGATCTCTGAGACAGCTGCTTATTCCTGCATTGCATGAGGTTGGCCTGGGTGATCCTCAGGGTCCCTTTCCAACTCCTTAATTCTATGATTCTATGATTGGAAGCCTTGTTTTTGTAATGTTTGAAGCCTCCCACAAAATCTGAGAATCAGTTTAGTATATTCTTCTTAGCAGGTGGGTGGATGAGTTCTGACAATCTCAGACAATTATGGCACCTGTTTTTTGTTTTTTTACATATTCCTTCTCCCTTCATACCTCTTATACAATTGCAGCATTTTTGCACTAACATCCATGCAGAGCTGTATTATTGCATGTCAACCACAATTCTAAAGGTCAAATATTTGAATTAATTGCTTGAATAATTATGTATATATATAAAAATTTAAAAATGAATCCAATTGCCTATTTTCAAAGTGGAAGGAACATCGGCTCCTTTATTTGAACACGAGAGACTCTATTCAAAAGATGGCTATAATTACTCAGAATTAAAAGCAGTACTGTTTTGTTTTTTTCTGGCGGGGAGGGGGGGAATACCTGCAGCATAGAGAAAAACAACAGTTTGCAAATATCCTAATACTAGCAGAATAAAAAGAATACAGCTTTAAAACATCTTTCTTCAAGCATAAAGGTTAGTATAGATGTGAACATGATGAAATAAAGAAAAAAAATGCAAATATAACAGAAAAACAGTTTGCTAAATTGAGACATGTCATACTGGAAAAATGGGACAGAGAAAAAAAGAGAAGGGAAAAAAAGTTTCTTAATGCATGCTAGAAAAATTTGTGTGGAGTTTTATCCCCAGTTTCCATGAAACAATGTGGACTTACTTTCTGGAGGGACCCTATCTTTGTGTGGGCATCCTGACAAACTGCGGTGATGGGGGTAAAGCCCCGTTACATGGCCAGTTCCATCACACCCAGGGGTAGGACATTTGCTTTCTTTCTTTTCTGTTCTTGAGGGATCTATAATTTACAACAAATGTGTCAAGTGAATGATGTTTTTCCTTTTCAGATTTCCAAATGGACGAAGGTTCACTTAATGAATTCAGTTACTCTTTGGAAAATGTTCTCAAAGAACACTGGAAGAAAACACATCTACGACTGAAAACATTTTTATCTCCTGCTTCCTTCTTCTGTACCGTAGGCTCCTATGGTCACAGCTGTCCTCCATTCATGGAGGCTAAATGGTGGTGACTTTCTTCCAGCAAAGCCACACACCATTGTCAACATAACTTCTGTCAAGCATTAGCTATAAGTTGGCTCTGTTTTGAATTTGTTTTAAAAACTATTTTCCTCATTATATATTGAAGTCTAGAGATCTACTGTGGGAGAAATTCAGAGTACTGATGATAGTGGACCCAGCTCCTTGCCAAAATTCTTCAAAGATGCAATGCAAATTAATTCTTTTTCAATGGCATGCTAAAACAGACAACACTGTTTCTCAAAAGTTTGCTACAGAATATAAGAACTTACAGAAAAGGATGTTTCTTTCCACTGAACATTAACTACAAGTTTGTTTTTTTTAGAAAAAGTTAAGACTTGCTTTTAAATTGTCCTGTGAAAGTCACCACATATTTAGAACACTTAAGTATTCATAACATTCATAATGAAGAGTTGCATCACATTTTGCTGTTTTCGTAATAACCTATGAAAATTATTTTTCTTATTACGCTTATGTGTGTGTTTGCAGAGAATGTTGTGGAATTACTGCTGAAATTGGAATTAAAACTGGAACCCCCAATAGCATTCTTTTACTGAATGCAAGGGGGGGTTGTACTAAAATACCCCTGCTCTTTCCATTTACACAATCCATTTACACAATCCATTATCCTAGGCTAATTATCTCCCAAGCTAATTTCAACTTCTGATTTGTATCCATATTCTAGGGCAGGGGCAAGTAGCTCTTTAGATGTCGCTGGACTTTAACCCTGATCAGTGTCAGCCAGCACAGCCCATGGTCAGGGATGTTGGGAGTTGGTACCCAACTCTTTCTGGAGGGCACCATGTTGGCTATCCCTGTTCTAAGGAATCTGGCAGAGCATCAATACTAACTAGAATGATAGGAGAGGGAGGCAGGTAAGAAGAGTAATGTACGTGTCATGATTCCTTGAAATAGCCATTCTCATCCTCACCCTCCTTGCCCCACTGGTTTTCTTCTTTCAGATCCCCTTCTCTCCACCTCCTGCTATAGGTTAGCTTCAGTAGCAATGCTAAAGTTCTTGCTGCAGTGCTGCAACAGCCCTGTGCTGTTGAGTGCCATGAAAAGCAATTTGGTTTTCATTTGTCTCAGCCTATAGAGGCAGGTACTGGGAATGATGGGTGGAAGATACAACCAAAAGGAAAAGGGAGACGGACTGGACATAGACTGGACATAAGACACATGAAGCTGTCTTATACAAAGCCAAGCCATTGGTCCATCTAGTGTCTGTCTACACTGGCTGGCAGCATCTCTCCAGGACTTCAGACCAGGGACATTTCCAGTCCTACCTGGAAAGACCAGGGATTGAGCCTGGGACCTTCTGTGTGTAAAAAAAGATGCTGTACTACCTCTCTTTCATTTCTGATGCTGGACCCCGCCCAAAAAGGCGGTCCTGTTCACTCTTTTTCTGTCTTTCCCCTCTGACAACCATTAAAGGGAGAAATAGTAAGCATGTATGAAGGAGGAGAACCGTCTCCACCATTTCAAATCATAGAAGAAAATTGCCTGGGACCTTCCTTGGTTATGCCTGTGTGAATCAGAGGCTAAAGTCAGCTGTAAGAGAATTGGCAATGCCTAAAAAGATAGGAGGATGATCCTAAAATAAATGATTGTGTAAATATCAGGGCTATCATATCAGCACCGTTTTCCAGTTTGTGTGGCAGTAAAGCCGTGTGTACAGAAACAGGCAGCTAGAGCTAATCCTATCTCCCTAACAAATACAACAATTCACTTTTTTTTTTTTTTGGAACTCACATATTAAAAAAACCAACATGTCTTACACCTAAAATGTTAGGTGCAAAGCCACTTTCAGAGTTCAGCAGTACACAGTAAAGTTTACATGATTCAGGATAGTTGGGCAAAAGGACCCCTGTGAATTCTGATCAGAAGCTCCAGATCAGAACATCATCCTTTTATACTGTTGTAATGTTTTAAATATTGTACTAGGAATAATTCATATCCAGTATCAAACAAATGCAGCCAATATTGCTCATAAGATTCTGTCAACCAAACTCAACCATTTTAGAATTCATCCTTTTAAAGCAATGTTTTCATTTTTATTTTTTAAAAAAACCAAACATTTATCTATCAGCACTGTGTGTTTGAACCTGGCATTATAACTCCCTTTGCTCCAGGAAGGACATTAATTCCCTCCAGAATGTTGTTATTCAACTGTCTCAAACCTCATAGGTCTCAATTCAAATCAAACATTATTTTTTGACAGCTCAAAGTTTGGAGAAATTAAGGTGCTTGCCTTTTAGTATTTAAAGCACAGCTTAAAGCAAGAGATTGTATTACAGGACTGGGGTTTCTAATTAGTGCTGATTACTGATATATTATACACTGATTCGCAACTCAAGCCAATGCACAGGAAACTCTGGGTTATTTGGCCTCTGCTATATATTTGAGCATTGATTTTTCTGCCAGCTCACAGAATAAAAGTGAGAAGCATATGCAGGAATTTAGCGTGCCACTCCAGGAAGGCTTTATACTGGCGTGCAAACAGTCTGCTTTTGCTCACGGCAGCAGTTTCCCATGACTGGCCTGCCATGATGGGAGCCAGTGCACATGCAACTTAAAGTGGCCAGTTTCATGTGCTTCCACACCTTGTGGTAGATGTGGTATTGCAGAGGGTTGGGCCAGCTGACCTTGGAGGGAGCATCACTTCCAATTCAAGGATTCTATAATGCTGCATGCCAGTCACCTATGGAGTCCCACCAACAGGGTATCAATAATCCTCCTGCTTCTACCGCTTGCCTAAAAACTTCAAAACACAGGACCGGAAGGCTGCCATACATCTGGCACACTACATAACATGGCTGGGGAGACTGAATTTGCTTTGGTAGGTCATAAATTGTGCAGGCCTACCCTTAATGGTTTAAATCCAAAGGTTGTAGTTTGACTGGGTTGACAGGGCTTCCTGACAGCAGGAAGACCAGTATATGCATTGTTAACCTTTCATTTAATAACCCCCTGCCAAAAATAAAATTATAAAGCAACACAAATACTAAAATGCCCCAAATTGGTGACTATGTCTGTGGCAGATTATTCAGCCCAAGAAAACAGAAAGAAATTAGTATTGGAGCTGGGAATAGAACTCATCAAAGTCTTTCTCTATGTCTCTGAAGTTATGTTACCTCTTGACAGCCATACCATTCATTTGCATACATAAAGCTTTATGGAACTCTTTACATAAAGCACTCTGATATGTTATATTGTGGTCCAAAGAATCCAGCCAATAAAAGCACTGGGTGATATCCAATATCAGTCCAACTCAGAGCTGACCCATTGAATTCAATGGGCCTACTTTTAGTATGATTTAGTTGACTTTCTCTCAGAGTATTTTGGCTATTTCTATTTCATACGACAATAATCAAGTGCAACAAGGTACAGTTAACCCAAAAGAGTATAAATCTTCACATCTTAGTTAATTAGATAATAAATGAGGGGGGCATCACTAAGATCAATGAATATTACTGAATTATTGCTACCCATGGGGCTGAACCACACAGTATTCACATCTTAATTTGAAACTCAAATCTGCCTACTCATAAAAACAATGTTTTAACTGTAGTACTAATGAGTAGTGTATTTCAAGTACAATGCTGGAAACAAGTTAGGCTGAGCGAATCAGAAATGTGGGGCAGGCTCTCTTTGTTTCTAGGTGACTGTTATGGAGCTTTAATATCAAAATGGTTATTTGGTCCAAACAAGGAATGGAAATAGCTTTATCTAGTACTGTGTAAGAAAATATTGAAGGAGAACTTAAGACTGACACTTGGGTAATTCAATTTAACATCATGACTGCCTCATAAATATTTCCCTACTGCCATAGGGAAAGTTGTTGTTCTCTACCAACTCTTGATACAATTGTCCAGTCAGGACTGCAATATTATCAGATATAATTTTGCAACGGTGAGGTTAGGGACACAAAGACATCCGGATACTTTCTAACATGGAAAAGCATATATCTATAGAAAGGATTGCCTCTCGCAATGTTTTTGGAACCCACCATAGGAAAGCAGCAGAAACAGAATTGTTAGGCATTCCTTTTGATGCATCTTCTTCCCTACATTAAAGTGTGTGTATATTCCCTGAGATGTGTACCCCACATCTCCCCCAAGAGGAGACACAGTTGAGGGAATCACTTGTATTTGATGATGAGTGGTGTTAGAAGGACATAGCCTTCATTCATTCACTTTTAATTTTTTTACAGTAGAGCAAAAAAGGTATATGGATATTTATTTTATCCTGCTCTTTGAAAAGAATTGAGTCTGGACCCCAAGTCTGAGGTTAACATTGCCCAAACTTTCAACTTTAGATCCAGGTATCGCTTGTGACTCCTGTTAGCATCATTGTTTATATTTACGTTCAAACTCCCAGAGGTACAGAAGCACCTTCTTTTTCCCCTGAGGTGGTAATGTTTAAATGATATTGGGTCTGGTTAAGGGCATGTTATAATATTATATTATATTCTGTAAGATAAGCACATTTGTAATTTTTACTTGAATGGTGTCTCAACTATTTGCTGATTTGTACAGTGCTTTATTTTCTTTTTAAAAAACGGACTGTCTTTTTTCCTTAATTGCAATAACAGATTAAAATATTGAAGTATATACGCATTACTTTATTGAAGCATGTAATGGGACAGTGTGTTTTTCCTTGTCCGTAAAAATAAGCATTCCCGACCAATTTGAGATATTAATTTGCCAGGACAAGCATAATGTGCATATCATGCCAGAAGCGATTCCCATAATTGCGGCAACCATGGTGAAACTGTTTGCCAGTCATACAAATTGATGCTGGCCACATCCATGATTTCATTGCCCATACATTACACTTGTTCATACAAGTGTGTGCCCCACAGTAGTTTGCATGTACAGAAAAATGTATTGGGCGAACTGCCTCAAACGCAGTCAATAACTCAGGTGTTGGTATACAACAGTGGCTCAAAACTGGATTGCAAGAAAGCTTCATGCTTTCATCATACTTATGTAGCTTATGAAGGCTATATGGGTCTTTTATTTGTCTTACAAACTTTGCTTAAGGAAAGAAAAAGTCTCCTGTGCAGATATATTGAAAATGTTTTAATATCATGATTATACTTTACAGCCCTGTTACCAAGTTCATAATATTTTTTAAAAACACAGAATAACAATTTAATAAAGTGATGCTCTGGAAATCACAGCATCATCCATAACCATCTAGGTTATTCACACCTCCCTCCAATGATTCAGATTCCTCAACTCCCATTAAAGTTAATGGGAGTGAAAAGTATTCTGCTGTTGGGAAACTTTACAAGAATGCAGACTCATAAAAATAGCATGTTGATATTTACATTGTATATACCTAGGCATAATACATGGTTATGGTAATTGTTTATGCTTTGTCTTTTTTGGTCTTATATATTGGATAATTGTTATGGTAGCACCTTAGCTATTTCCACAAAGGCATGAAACCAGTGGAGTGGAATGCATATAAGAAAGAAATTGCTATTGATCTCAGCCCAGGCCAAAGCATGCCTTGCATAGCAAATGATTTCCATTACCTTACTATTAAAGATAATTAATGTGCAGTCGTTGCCCCTATCTCATGTTATCGGTCACTCAGATACTATTCAATTTCTATCAAGCAACTCTACATTTTATATGGGAGAGGGTTCATCAATAACCACCATCTGGTTATAATTTTATAAATCAAGATGCCTCACACAGTCCAGTCTATAAAAATATGCATTTCCCAGCTAATTGGCTGTCTTGCACAAAATCTTAACGTATAAGTCAATTCATGCAAGATATATTTGCCTTTAGTTTTAAAATCATAAAATATATTCAGCATTTCTGGACAACCTTCTCTCTTTTAACATGATCTCTTATTCCCTTTGCTTCTCCTGGCATGACGTAATGTTCTACCTAAAGACACAGAGCATTACTTTGAACTACTTGTGCTTCTAGAATTATTTTTTGAGTGCAAAAAAACACATTCAGGTGCATGGCTTGTTAAGATTCACCCCATAGTTCATCATAATACAACATACATTAGAGAGAAATATTACCTTTACCATAATATGGCTTTTTGACATGGCCGTCACTGGACTTAGACTTCCTGTCGTCTCCAGAAAGCTGTCTTGGAGACTGCTCCTCATAGGATCTCATATTATCCCTCCTTCCAGCTTCCATTGCCATTTTTTCCCGCATGGCTTTTGCTCTTTCTGTTTCTAAAGCAATCGCTTTCTCAAGCAGCGTTAAGTTTCCTTTCGTCATATCAAATACCTCCTCCGACCTATCTGAAGTTACAGAGGCGGTGTCGTCATCTCTTTCGTGACACCCGTCCTCTTTTGCACAGCTAGAAAAAGTTCTAGATCTGGGGCTCAACTGTTCTTCAAGCCTCATTAAGTTCATCATATCAGAATAATTCCTATCAGAGGTCCTTCCTTGGAAATCATCTTCTTGCCGGGCATGTTGGCGAGAATTCATGTTTTGCTGTTGATTCCTTTCCTGCGGGTTTGTCTCGCTGAGTTTCCTGGCCAAATCAAAACATTGGTTCCTCAAACATTCCAGGCTGCTGAGACATACTTCTTCATCGCTCTCTTCCACCATTTTTTCTGTAAGCCCATTGTTGGTAGGCTTCCCCAACATCCCATAGTTCATATTCCTGTTTTCTTGCTGAGACATACCGTCTGCATAATTTCTGTCATTAACGTTTTCTGAAAGCACTACACCATGTCCTTGTGCTAACAATTTCAGCGAGTCCACAGTTTCCCTAACAACGTCACTGTCTAAATCTAAACTCAGCTCACTCTTACGACCAACATTTTCATTTTTGTCGCTATCGTCTTCCAGGCTATTAGATGTATTGCTATTCATTTCTGATTCTGTCCTGGCTCTGTAAGCTGCATCCTCTGCAATTTTGCCAAGATTTAACAATGACTTCGCCACCAGTTCATCGTAATTATCATACTCATCATTATTGTTATCATCTTTTTCTGTGTCTTGCATTCGAGTATTGTGACAATTCATTTGATGGTCTTCTGCATAGGAGAAAAAAAAGAACAAAGAAAGAAAGAGAAATGGAAAAGGAAAGGGAAAAAAGTGGCTAGAACTGGAACTGTTTTTGCAGTGCCATGGACAGAACACAAACCGCCTATCAATCATACTTTAGCATACAGTGGCTCATAAGCACTAAGAAAACCATATTAATTTAATTTTAGGTTACAGGATTAAGAAAAGTGATGGTTCTTATGGAGAAAAGGACACTTATACCTTTGCTAATTTCTTAGTGAAGCATTACTGGGCTTAGAAAACATATTTTCTTACCAATTTTTTTATTTGACATTATAATCTCAAATAGTTTTTAAACTTTTATTTTGATCTTTTCTTTCTAATTTGCTTTTTGAAAACAGTTGGATTATTTGTGCTAGTTTACTTGTGTGTGTTCTTTCCAAATATCCCCAATCCTATTGTTCAGCAGTTAACACTTGGGGATACACACACACACATGCGCGCGCGCGCACACACACACACACACACACCTAAAAGGCTATTCATTTAAGCTCCACAACACTAACATATAGTATTATTATATTATATTATATTATATTTATATTATATTATATTATATTATATTATATTAATCACATTTCCTGAGAGGATCAAAAGACATGGGGCTCTTGGGGAAATATGTAGTAGTTGGATGTTTCAATTAATAATTATAGACTGCATATCTCCAGCATATAATTTTAAAAATACAAGTACATAAAGGCATATGCATGCATTCTCAGAAAGCATTTTGTTTGTCCAAACAAAGCAGGCAAAAACCTTAACAAAATGTTTCACAAAAGAATATTTGCTAAATACCAGTAAGTGCTTATTAACCTATGTGCTACATTATCACAGGTAGACATTTTGTTGATATTTCTGTTCTTATAATGGTTCCATAGCAAATAGATTCATTTATCCTGTAATGCCTGTTGGAACTGTTGAAATGAATGGTAGCTATCCATTACACGAATAATATTGTTCATCTATATATGAAAGCCATTCTTCAGCAACCCTTAACGATCTGCCAATCAAGCAGAAACAACAACCAGGTTGGGACGACGCAGGATGGAACAACCTAGATTCTCAGTAGCTGGGGTCACAAAGTGGCAGGGAGCAGCTTTCTTTCCTTTCCCTTAACACCCCCCCCCCCCATGAATGAATACGTACTCCCTTCTCCCCTGGCCATATATGTGAATGACTTCTCTTCCCTTCCATAAGCAAAAGCTGAGCCATTAAAGATGACATTGTGGTTTTTGGATATAAGCAACCTTTCATGCCTCCAGTCAGCAGAGGGCAGTGTTGAAATATACATTGTGGTTTCCAGCCATTCCCACCACCCGAGGCAGCCATGAAACTAGTTTCCACCATGTAGGCTTAGAATCCCAAGCCATCCTTGTAAATATGAAAAAAAACTGTAGGGACCTCTGTATGGTTTACCTTTTAAAGCAACACTAGTGATGTGTGGATGGGGAAGAAGAGGGGGTGGATCTGGGTAGCTCCAGATTCCAAGCTTTTTAACTCTGCTCAAAACTACCAAAAGAAACCCCACCATGTTTTAATTTTAGAACTCAATTTTGCCTCCACCTGCCGCTGCGGTGCTTGTCCTCAATAACAAAGATTCCACAGAGGACTGCAGCATGTCAGATACACTGCACACCCAAGAGAATCCTTGCAATGTACACAAGTCCTCCATCCACATATATCCCAAATGCCATCCCATTTGTTTCAATCGCACTCAGAAAGGAATTCCCAGCTACCGTATTTTTCGCTCTATAAGACGCACCAGACCACAAGACGCACCTACAAAACAAGAAAAAAATATATTCTGAATTTCAGAAGCCAGAACAGCAAGAGGGATCGCTGTGCAGTGAAAGCAGTGATCCCTCTTGCTGTTCTTGTAGCCTTATGAGGCTTTGCCCTCGGGTGGGAAAAATATTGCGCCTGGGAAAGGGAAGTGGGAGTCAACAGACACTCAAGGAATAGTTTCGGAGAAAAGGCTTTTATTTCTACCATCCATGAACTGGTAGAAGGAGCAAGTGTGATAAGTCACAAAAAGCATGCATGTATCTCTTTTTAAAGTTGTAAATCATTCTGGCTTCTGTGATAGATGCGCAGCCTGCATTCGCTCCATAAGATGCACACACATTTCCCCTTTTTAGGAGGGAAAAAGTAAGTCTAATAGAACAAAAAATACGGTAATTTATTTTTATGGCAGTATTCTTCAGTTTTTACCACCTTTGTGCCAGAGGTCAAACTAAAAATTACTAAAAGAATTGAAGCAATTATTCAATTCTTTTGAATAATTGAGATTTTTCAGAGGCTTAGTTCATAGTAGTCCAGTCCTGCAAACTGGAGAAGCCAATCTATGTGTGGGAAAAGTTTTTGAACTGCAGTTTGCCAGCAGGCCCAAGAAATGTACAAGCTGCATGTTAGTGATGTGAATCACATTGTTGGCTCTGACAGGGCTCTGATCATCCTTTCATTAGGCAAAGGGAGAAACAGGCTCCATCCTTGTATGCAGATATGTCCTGCATTTAGTGTACCGGGCAAATGCAAGTAAGGATCTTGCAGCACATTCATACTACCGAAGGCGTAACCACTGGCAGCCTCTTCAGCAAAGAATGGTTAACAGCCAAGCTACACTCCTTTCCCCCACAAAGTATAGTTGACTTAAGGTCATCGCGAACAATACAATCACTAAAATGCACATACACCAAAGAACAAAACCACCCTAACTATCCTTCTAGAAAATGTGTATTATTTCTTTGAAGTGTCCATTTCTTCCATTCCATAGACTCCTCAGAATTGGGACCCTGCAACTTAAGGTATCTGTGGAATCATGCTACATGCCACAAGTGTGTTGATGTTGGAACATATCTTGCTTCAATTTTTCTTAATCACTTTTCAATAATCATAAAATCAGATTGTTCCACAGACACAACTGTCAAGAGTCCTGATCTGCAGGGATAGCCTTTATGAAGGGAAAAAGAAAACTGAGATAGTTGTGAATTGTGGTGAAATACTGCATGGAGAACATGGCATGAAAATGCCTAGTAATGAACTCATGCAATGAGCTGAGGTAGTAAGGAGTATTGGCTGTTAGAGGAGAGCCATGCACAAGCCAGGCACAAAGTAGCAATGGGTTGACTATGACAATGACCCAATTAGGTACAGGTTTTCTGAAACGATGGTGAGGGACAATACCTCTTCAGGCATTTGTGTACAGCATTAAGGGCTCGCCCACACTTCTGCTTGCCCTGTGCCTAGAAAGCACGGGTCTGAGTGGTTGCCCGCTTGACCCACACTTTCTAGGCATGGGTCCAAGTGGTTTTCTCCTTGCCCCCCCCCTTCCCAGGGAAAAGGGAAAAGGATTTAGACTCTTTCACTCTAAATCAGAGCAAACATCAATCTGCTGGTGTACAAACGTAATCTGCAGGGTATAGATGTAAAAATAAAAATAAGTAGATAAATGAGTTGGAGGGCAAAAGTAGGAGGTGCATTTGTGGAGGCTTCCCAGGCATTTTAGAACCATGGTAACTCAGGGTTCAAAGCACACATATTGGAAGATGCCACATTTTCCTCGATTGCTTTTCGGTGTTTCTTCTTATTCTGAAACATATGTCAGTGTTTCAGGGATTCTGATGAAGAATGCAACTATAATTTAGTATTGGTAGCTGCCATGATCCTGACAGACAAAGGCTCCAAAAGCTTCTCATAATGGAACATGCATCTGGGTCAGTTTGTGGAGGAGCTTTCTAACAGCATGGTGGGAAACAAATCATTATGATGACTTTTTAAAGTTAGACTAAAATGGCAGGGGCGGGGTGGGGGTGGGAAACCTGTGGTCTTCCATATGTTGTTTGATTCCAACTCCCATTGGCTCCAGGGATGTTCCAATAGCAACTGAAGGGGCACAGGTCCCCCAACTTCGACTTAAATAATGCAACCATCATCTTTCTGGTGCAAACAGCAGGCAGTGCAACAGCAGACCAAAGAAGAAATGAAAGATCTACTCACATAATGGTTTTTCCAATATCTACTATGACAAGTATATTCTGCACAGGTAAATAGGGATTTTTCCTTCATAGAGAGTGAGTGCAAAAAGCCTCTGGCCACAATATGTGTTGATTTTGGGCTCTTTTGTGCATAGGTCAGACATCCATGTCTTATTATACAGAATTTTGCTTTTCTGTCATTGATCTATTGCCCCTATGAAATTAACTGCACTCTCCCTCTTACACACACACACACACACACACACACACAATCTACTTTAGAATACTTGGAAAATTTGTAGTCATTTCAAAACTCTTGGAAGCACTGCTGTCATCGTCCCTAACTATGCCAGCATTAAAGGTTTCACCCATGCATCCCGCATCATCTCTCTCCCCTATCAAACCGCATCCTTCTTTTTTAGGTATCCTGCCACCTCTCGTCCTCTCAATTTGAAATGCTTCTGTTAAAATCAATTTCTTCTCTGGGAGGCACCTCTGCTTAAATCTCTGCACTGTCTCTTTGTGTCACTTTCATGAACTTCAAGCACCTCCTGATCCTTACATTTAAGGCTCTCCACTTCTTTGGCCTTGACGCTTCTCTCATCTCTCCATACCCCTGTTCTTGCTGTCTCTGTTCTGTGCAAACTGATCCGCTATCACTCTCTTTGATTCTCTCTACCTGTCTTTGCCTTTGTGCCATCACCCATGCTGTTCCATGTGCTTTGGACAACCTTCGTTTACCTTGACAAGCCAACACTTTCTTCTCTGCAGATTCCCTCCTTAAAAACCACTTCTCCCTCAAAGACGTTTCTTAAACACACAGTTGCCTGCAGCCATGTTATATCCCCAGAACCTGGTCCTATACTCCTTTAGCAAGTCTTGATTTTTTCCCCCATTCACTTGGCCACCTCAAGTGTAGAGCAGAGGTACACAATTCAAAAAACTGACAGCGGTTTCTACTCAAGGGTATGTGTCACATTTTAGCCCATTCTATT